TAACAACTTGTTTGCAGACCTGTAACAACTTGTGCGTTTTTACCTGTGTACGAGACGGTTGCCCAGATTGGGTAAATTTTAGACATAAGCTGGGCAAAAGGATGTGAATAAATTGAAAAAACTCGAGCCGAAGGTGAGATGTATATCCGTTGTATAACCGATACAACACGAGCGTGAAACGTTTTGATGAGAACATTCGTATTCTTCCACGATTTAGAATAAATTAATGATATTCGGTGAGAAAATTGAACTTAAAGTCTATGTAAATTAGCATGTTTCTGTATCAGATATACAAACTCCTTCACGCTCATGATTTGTTTTGTGTTTTCTTCATGAATTATGAGTTACAAAACGTTCATTATTTGCTACTGTTTAGAACTTGCTTGGTGTTCAACTCAAGTTGGTTATCTATCAGCTCTTGCTTCAATGTAAGTTGTGATTGGATAAAATTTATATGGGTTTGTTGTATATCTATGAAACTAATGAAAGCCTGGAACCCTAACAACTATAGTATCATCATTCAACTATAGTATCATCATTCAACTATAGTATCGTCATTTCTGTAACGCAAATTTACACTGTGGATATAATCAAATGAGCTTCACAGCAAGTATTACGTTTACCGAATTACTTACTTAGCCTAGACTATTTTATCTTTACAACAATTGTGATATTACTTTCTTCACTATGTTTATCCTAACCCACCCTGTCAACTTTCCCTGTGGGAGGAAACCAGAGCACCCGGAGAAAACCCACGACTTTTGGCAGAGCGTTGACTGACTCTTTTCACATGAGTCCATAGCGAGAATCGAACCCCAGGATCTCAGATGCGAAGGATCGCTTGCTCGATGAGCCACCGAAGTCTCGTCATTATATAGTTTTGTGATTTAAGTTGGAATTATATCGTTTTGGGATGTTTTAGGTTCGGTGAATTTCTTCGATTATTTTGGTTCAATAGTGAGTTACATGGTAGTCAGTATCCCGTTATTTATTGGTGATTTTGATGACTTGATGCCAGGAGAGCTGGCTGGCGTTATAAGCAAGGTATGCGTGAATACAATTTTTGCAGGGAGAGGGTATAAATTATGGTTTTTGTACGACGTTCAACATACACATTGCGCTTGTGCCGCCAATTTTCGATTCGTGTAAATTATATTTAAAGAAATAGATTAATATTAGCGCCACTCGCATTCACAAATATCAGCAACACCATCAATACCACTAAGAGCAAAATCATTATAAACAGTATCGTTATCGCCACCTTCATCACCAGCGCCATAATGCGTCATCATCACCATCACCGCGGCACCATCATTACCTCTGTCATCATAGCCAACTCCACCACTATCACCACGCTGTTACCTTGGTGATGGACAGTATCACCATTACCACCATCATCATCACCATCTTACCGCCATCATAACATCAATATCAGTGACAGACACTATACTAAGACATGACCACCTTTTGCAGCTTAGGTAGCCAATACATGACCACCTTTTGCAGCTGGAAATCTTGGTTCCTTTTTTGCCTACCAATGCTTTCATAGTTATTTAGCTATAATTTAAAGGCTTTCAGAAATTATTACGGGCAGTTGTCCCTCTCCCCCCTCATTGATCATCACCACCACTATCGTCATTACAATCATAATCACCAATATTCGAGGTATTAATATCCTAAGTTTCTTTACTTGTCATTTTTCAGTATTCTTTCATATCGATGTATCTGGTGCACTCGTTCTCTCAACTTATTGATCTCTCAAATAAAGTTTCCGACATTGCGGGATACACGCACAGGTAATTTGTCAACTTATTTACTTCGTGACACAGCTGCCGAAGATTTAGTAAGGATAAATAAACTAAAAGGCTAGCGATGTTGAATATCTTGGTTGGGCAGTGGTGTAACTTTAGTTTTTTGACCAAGTTGGACATGAAAATTAGTTGCCCTAAATAAAATTCACTTGCCATCAGACAATGGCCTCCTTCGCTAGTTTCGTCATGCAAAGCGAAACGTCGACACTCGCCGGTCTAATAAATATATAAAATTTAGACTTGAAATTCCCTGCTACAAAACTCTTCTAAATGTTACGTACTCAGGTGAATATGATGTTTGTGATGTTACTCTGAGTGTATATCCACACCGGACAAGCTGAAAAGTTTGCCTGACCATGGTGGGAATCGAACCCGTGACCTTTGGAATACTAGTCCAATGCTCTGCCAACTGAGCTACGAGGCCAAGTCGGTTCGAGTATGTGGTATTTCGGAACTCTAGTGCCTTAGATACCAATGTGTCCTTATGATCATGATATTTTTTGTGTGTGTTTTGATGTTATGAACTCGAGTGAATATAATGTTTTTGATATTACTCTGAGTGTGCATTCACGCCGCGGGCAAGCTGAAAGCTTTGCCTGACCACGGTGGGTATCGAACCCGGGACCTTTGGGGCACTAGTCCAATGCTCAGCCAACTGAGCTACGAGGCCAAGTCGGCGAGTTTGTGGTATTTCGGAACTAAGTCTAGACCTTCGATACCAATGTGTTCTTATGATCATGATATTTTGTGTGTGTGTTTTGATGTTATGTACTTGGGTGAATATAATGTTTCTGATATTACTCTGAGTGTGTATCCACACCGAGCAGGCTGAAAAGTTAGCCTGACCACGGTGGGAATCGAACCCGCGACCTTTGGGATACTAGTCGAATGCTCTGCCAACTGAGCTACGAGACCAAGTCTGTTCGAGTGTGTGGTCTTTCGGAACTAAGTCTAGTACCCTCGATACCAATGTGTTCTTATGATCATGATATTTTTTGTGTGTGTTTTGATGTTATGTACTCGGGTGAATATAATGTTTCTGAGTGTGTATCCACGCCGAGCAGGCTGATCTCGTAACGAGCTCAGTTGGCAGAGCGTTGGACTAGTATCCGAAAGGTCGCGGATTCGATTCCCACCGTGGTCAGGTAAACATTTGAGCCTGCCCGGCGTGGATATACACTCAGAATAACATCACAAACATTATCAAGTAAGACGCCCAAAATCCTTATGAAATTCTTTGCTAATTACAGGATTGGCGAAGTGTTGGAGTTTTTTAAGGAGAAAACAGGACCATCACAAGATTCATTCAGGTTTGAAGATAATTTGGACGATGGTATTTTATTCAAGATAGAAAATCTGACGTACTCTGCACCGCAATCCATAGACAAACCCTTGATGAAAGGTATAGCTATCATTAAATTCAATCCTTTTAATATTGAAATTTGAAATAGAGATTTGGTGTAGTGATTCTTATTTCAACTTCATATAGATTTAGATCTGGAGATTCATTGTGGAAAAAATGTTTTAATAACTGGAAAAACCGGTATGAATGCAAGGTTGCAAAGCACCTAGTGCACCACGGCAAACTAATCCATTCTTAGGGGGAAATATTATACAAACAAGACGCCTGCTCACTCAAAATAACGACACCTGACACGCTTGTGTGATATCTGGAATATGAGAGCAGTCAGATCAGCAAATATTGCTCTTTCTTGAGCGCAAAATTTAGCTATTGCTACCAATACAATTTAGAGCGATGCCGACATATAAAATCAGCCAATACTCAATAATTCAAGAGTGAACGACTGGAGTTAATTGCATGTTTATTTTTCCTTCTCACGTAAACAATCAAGTTCGTCCTCAGAAACCTCAGAAAAACGCGAGCCGGAAGCCACTTTTTTGAAACTATGCTCCAGGAAAATGGTTGTGCTACTCGTTCTATATCGAGGAATAGATAGCGAGTAGAGTAGCCAATCAAATTACAGCATTTGCAATAGTACACTAGTATAAGGTACTTTTTTTCAGGACACCCTTGTATAATAATGAATAACTGGGTATGTCATATTTTTATCTTTTTCTTTAGGCAGTGGAAAGAGTTCGTTGTTAAGGGTCATGTGTGGTTTATGGCAACCTGATTGTGGTAAGTCCATGATTGTAGAAATTTCCAATCAGCTTTTCTCACGAAGGCCAAAATCCGCCATTTTGGGGGTTCTGTCAGTCCTCGTGAAAGATTTTAGACAACTCAAACAACGTGAAAAGCGACTTTTAAGAGTTGTAACTGTAAATTTACCATTATACAAACAACTACATTACTAAAAGGTCGCATTTCGTGGTGCGCAGACTCTCAAACGTGGGAGAGCCAGTACCCCAAAAATGGTGGGAAAATCGGCCTTGAGAAAGGTTGATTGCATGCAGTTTGCTTTTAACTAACATATACCCTTGACTCAGTATTTTTGCTTCGGTGGAATGCGAGAATTGTGCATGTATATAGCCTTTCAGTTTGACTCTATATCAGGCAGGGGTGCAAAACTATCGGACCACGGACGAATAAACTTGATAGAATGAATGGAGTTGGTTGTTCAAAGGTAGATTACCGTTAACCCTAGGTTAAATGTATTTCTATTTTATGTATTTCTGCACGTCTGTTTATTTCAAAACTTCTGAGACGAAAACTCCTACTAATTCGGACAAGATCTCTGACGAAATACTGTATTTCCAAATTTGTAAACAAATTTGCTTTGAATTTTAGGTTAACCTTGCTAACCCAGCTTTGAACAACTAGCTTCTGATCGATAAAGCTATTTTTACAATAACTACAAAAGTGCATGCATATTGTAACGATGGGTTTTTTCAATACAGGAAAAGTTGTTCGGAGAGCAGACGAGGAGAAGTACGCAATTCTGTTTTTGCCTCAAAAACCACTTCTGACTGATGGTTCTCTAAAACAACAGGTTATACATGGTATATTAAACATTTTGATGGGCTTTAGAAAGTGTTACAGGGCAGTATAGTTTATTGAGTTCCCCCCTTCATTGGTCAGCGGATTTCCCAACAGGCTGTTGCCATGCATTTGCATTACAGACTAAATTTTGATCTAAACAAGTCTGGACAAAAATTTCATCACAGCTTGAAAGAGCATCATAATATAGCCTTGCGAAGTTTGCCGTTTTTCAGTCATTTTGTATTACAAACGAGAAATTGACAGCCCCAAAGGGTATTGGCTGTCAATTTCCCCCGCGTAATAAAAAATGACTGAAAAACGGCAAACTTCGCAAGGTTATATTATCCGCATTTTACAACATTTCGCAACGAAACTTTGGAATATTACTAATTTTGCGATGCTCTTTCAAGCTGTGATGACTTGTTGAGATCAAAATTTAGTCTATGATGCAAATGGTCCATTGATAGGGGATCCGAGGTACCTACGATATAACGTCTTTATCCGAGAAGACGCGAAAGTCTAACCATTGCCTGATGTCAATGTAAAGGTAGCACTTTCTCCTCAATTATTCTAAGACCTTGAGGTCCGACCAAGGATTGAAGCCGTGTCTCCCACCTTGAAAGGCAAGTGTGCATGTGACCACGACATCACAAGAGCTAGTTAAAACAGTAGTCATCTTCAGTATATCTATTTTATATATATATTTGGCTTACTTGCAGCAAATACCAGACTAGTACGTATGCAGGTGAAAAGAATTAACCAGCGTTTTAGATTCAGGTCAGCCAACGGCGAATTTTGCCCGTGATTGCGAGGATTTTGTAGCAAATTCCCCGTGTCTCCATCCAGGCTTTTAGCCGTTCAATTTTTGGTATAACGATACATCTACAGTAAAGAGAGAGGGGGGTTCCAGAAAACGTTCCTCTGGAAAACCTTTGAAGTTTACGTTACTTCATGTGAGTATCTGTACCAAGCTATTTCGTTTCAGATATATTAATACACTTCGGGAAGTAATTGAAAATAATTTCCCTTTTCCCCCAGAATTTGGGCGTCCAAAGGTGTCCATTTTTCGTTCTAGGGACGTCCCAGGATGCCTGGACGCCCTTCTGGCTAAAAGCCTGTCTCCATCGCATTTCGCCGTGGCTGAATCCAAAATGAATGACGAACCTTTATTGCATGTTAGTTCTTGCCTTTGATTTCTATGTAATGATGGGTCCCAATATTCTCTTTTAGATCATTTATCCAGAAGACGAAGATTCGTCCTTGGATGACCTTCTTAACGGTACTAACTTTATTTATTTGATCTCAGAATCATTAGATGCGACGTTGCTCGCCTGCGATTTGTCTTTTATAATTATTCTTTCGACGCAAGAAAGAGAATATGAAAGGAAACGTTCAACGAAAATTTTGTCAAGAAAGTTCGAACCTTGGCTTCCCGGAAACGTGAAGCTTAAACTCCCTAATGATAATCTCCTGAAACGCGTGCCTAGGGTATCCTGTAACCTTAAATTAAAGTGCATATGACATGAAATTTCTTATTTTCTTAAATGAAAGAACTCTTTAAGTTGTAGTGTAACTTATTTCCCAGTTTCTTGTTTTTATGGTTTGTTCCCGAGATATTTCAATTTGTTTGATATGTAAATGAGTGTGAATATGTCCGCTAATTTATGACGTCATGTTGGTTGCAAGCTCAACTTAGACTGGTTATAAATGTATTAAACTGTTGATATCAGTTCACGTTTTTCTCCAGTGTTTCATCACATGTACCAGTGAGTGAAGTTTGAAATTATCATCTTGGATAATAGCAAGTGATTTCAACCATTTTGAAGAGCTTGCAACCAACATGACGTCATAAATTAGCGGACATATTCACACTCATTTACATATCAAACAAATTGAAATATCTCGGGAACAAACCATAAAAACAAGAAACTGAAAAATAAGCTACACTACAACTTAAAGAGTTCTTTCATTTAAGAAAATAAGAAATTTCATGTCATATGCACTTTAAACAGAAGAAAAGAGTTTTATATATACATCACTGTTGTCTGTTGTTGTAACTTGCAACGCAATTTCACATACAATACACAGCCATGTTATCTTAAGAGTAGTTTCCGTATGGTCGTAACTGTCGCGAACGTGTTGTAAAGGTCTAGACACACCGGATGCGATTCGACAACGCGACGGGATTTTTTAGTTTTTGAAAGTGAATAAAACAGCCGATGCGAGGAAATTTTGAAAGATATGTAGACCAAATAACTCAAAGTGTTATAGCGCTTCTAAATATTTGAAAAATGTTAACTAGGATCAAAGTTATCGGTCAGTGAAAATCGAAAAATCGCGTCGCGTTGTCGAATCACGTCCGGTGTGTCTGGACCTTTACTGTCGTCAGAGTAAATGGAAACATGAAAAAAAGTCTTGTTGCGACACGCTGGCAACAGTTCACGACAGTTACAACAGTGTCGTCGAGATAGACTCGAGTTCTACCTTGACGACAGTTGCGACATGCTAAAAACGTGTCGTGACGGTTATGTTTTAATGGAACAGAAAAACGACAGCATGGCAACAGTCTTACGCCCTTTTGGGGGGCCTTGTTTGTCTTTTTAAAACTGCCGCCAGCTGCTTGTACGATCCCCGAAATTAACGTGCAACAGTGTCACGACAGTTGTACAACCGTATGCATGCAAACAGGCATACATATCATTTACGACAAACACTTCACGACACGTTCGCGACAGTTACAACCATATTTGATAACATCGATGATGTCAGAAATTGCGTTACAAGTTGCAGTAAAATTTTCCTCGTGCGTGTATAACATGGCCTCAAGCATTGGTAATGTCGTCTTTAGTTAACAACGACCATGTTGTATTAGATTCCAGAAGAAACGATAGAATTCAAGAGTGTCTTCAACTTGTTAAATTGGTAAGAATCTTAGTCATTATCAGACCTCGGAAAAATGTTTAATTAATGTTTCTCCAACCCTGAATTTGCCTTTTTCAAATATTCTTCGAAAGTACGTTAAGGCCCTGTCACACTATTGCGTGTGAGAGAAACGTATGAGAAGCGTATGAAAATTAATGAAATAATTTTCATACGCACAAAAATCCTTTGAAATGCCAGCGTACGAGTACCGTACATCTGGCGTACCTCTAGCGTATTCAGCGTGTGCCTAGAGCATGCTTATCGTATAAAGCATACGTTCGATACGCACAAAAATTTTGAGCATGCTTAAAAAAAATTTTCTGCTTCGCCGTATGCCACCGTATGCTACCGTGCTTGAAACGTATACAACCTATGCCTAACGTACCCCTAGCGTATGTCAGCGTATACCGGCGTATGAGTGATATTTTTCATACGCTGGCATACGCTAGTACGATACGCAATAGTGTGACAGGGCCTTAAGTTAGAAACAATGAAAATTTTCACCTAAATCCTGATTTCCATATGGTCGTAATTCCATGTGATCTGTCTGATCTCAACAGGGAGTTTATAATAGTTTATACCGGGCCTGTAAACCACATATAGTCATAAGTATTCTCTAGTTATAATCACTCCGCGTATTTTCAGTTCTAAAATGTTGTATTTCGGCTGATGAGAAAGATCGTGACTCAATCTTTACGACCGTTACGATCATATGGAAACCAGGTTTAAAAACGCACAAGTTGTTACAGGTCTGCAAACAAGTTGTTACAAATCTGTTCACAAGCTGTCGACAATGTGTGTTCGCACTGCTTGTTCCCAGTTGTTGGAACAAGTTTGGAACAAGCTGTTAACAACTTGTAACGAGCTTGATGGCATTATCAGACTTGTTACAAGGTTGTTCTAACAAGTCTGATACAGTCATGATGTAACAAGAATGTCACAAGGTTGACGACACAAGGTTGTAACAATATTATTATATCATGACTGTATCGGACTTGTTCGAACAACCTTGCAACAAGTCTGATAATATCGACAAGGTTGTTACAAGTTATTAACAGCTTGTTCCAAACTTGTCGACAACTTGGGACAAGCAGTGCGAACACAACTTGTCGACGGCGTGTTGGCAGACTTGCTACAAGATGTGAGATTTTTGGAGACCTTTGTTTTGTCACAGTTGACACTTTTACGAAACCATACGATACAGTAATATCAATGAATATAAAAGACCTGTTTAGAATTTTATAATTAGTAGCAAGATATGTATGGGCTCTTAAGCCAATGTCTCAAACGCAGAAACGAGGCTGTAATAGCCACGGCTAAGTTAGCAGGCATTGCATGGCAGACGCTCATGCGGAAAGGACCGTCTGCCAGGTCCCTTTAAAATCACAGCTAAAAATAAATGACCATTACTTATGTATACAAATTCGCCTTGCCCGATTTTTGGTGTTTCTCGGCGGGCTGACCGTCTGCAACGCAGGCTATGGGTTAACGGGCTAACTACTTTCCAGTGAAATCATAATGAATTTGAAAAATGCAGATGAAATATACTAATCTTTATCAATTGCTGTCTAGACTGAGGTTTGTGATCGTGCTGGTGGCGCGGATCAGCCGGTGGACTGGAACTGGTAAGTCCGAAGTGTTGGTCACTGATCTCAAAATATGTCGCTGTATCGTGCACAATCTCGTTCCCCGAGCCTGCGATCCTCAGAAAGGAACGTGAGGCTCTGGGATAATCCGTTTCAGGCAGGAATCTGATTGGCCGTTGATATGGAATGCGCAGTTCGGTCTTAGCCAGGATTTCTGGCTTCCGGCAACGGATTATCCCAGAACCTCGCGTTCCTTCACGAGGATCGCAGGCTCGGGGAACGAGATTGTATCGTGCAACTGTAATGTCAATATGGATATCTGGCATGATGAGGAAATTACATTTACTTTTGCAGGGAAGACATGTTATCACCAGGAGAGATGCAAAGACTGTCATTTGCCAGGCTGTTTTATCACAAACCTGATTGTGCAGGTAATAGACTTTTCTTATAATGATGTCAAACGCGGAAAGCCAATTTATACGATGTTCCACCGGACAATGGGCCATTCCATTTAATATAGACACTCCCCTATTGAGGGGTCCCTAAAACACCTAGTTTTTGCAATTTTTTTAAAAATCTATCAAGCCACCCTTTAGGAAAATTTAAGATGAAGACCCCCTCCTCCCCCATTGGATATCCAAACCCTTATAGGGCGGGGGTGGGTACACATATTAAATGGAATGGCCCAATGCAAGTCGTTGGGGAGCCAATAAATTTCATAAAAACATCATTTGCATTGCGAACTGTCCTCAAAATTGTAAAGGTTAACTTAGAACATGCATTGGAAAGTCAATGATGAACAGGGACAAGTCCAGCCAGATTGGCATCTCGTAGTATGACATCTGAGCTATGACCCAGAGAAATGGACACCCC